TTTTTCTATAAAGTGTTATTATGGATGTTATTTGTTAATTTCATGTACCACTCAATCCTCATATATATTTGCATAACACTTTATTTATTTCACTAGCTTAAATATAAACATATTATTTTTTATATACTATTTTATTAACATTTTGTTTGGTCTTATTTTAGGGTTTAAAACACTTATATATCTTATATATCATTTATTTGTTTTAATCAACAATTTATTAATATTATTTTTAGTTTATACATAATTTTTGAAAAACACTAAAATTTGTACTATATATCAACACTTTTATTTAATATATCTATTAATCATTTGTATTTTAGTTCTACTAATTATCTGTATTGTTTTTCATCTTTTGTTTTTTCTTTTAAAAATATCTTAATTAATTTAATCGTCTTTGTAAGGTCTTATTGTATAAATATTATTATATGGAAATAACATAGAAAATATTTCATCGGCTATACGTTAATATAAAAGTATAAAACGTGCACTTGCCGGGAATCGAACCCGGGTCTCATCCGTGGCAGGGATACGTCTTACCACTGGACCACAAGAGCCACCTGAATTGTCCTCTTCGGTTTTTGAATCATACCAATAGTGTAAAAATTGCCTTATAGAAATTATCTAATGTATATATTCATATAAATTTCAACATTTTTTATCAAACTACTCTATTTATTCATATGCTCATAAAATCATCTTCAATTAAATATGGAACTGAAAAATCATAGGTTTCAAAAGCTTCAATTATCAAACACTACAAACTATTTTGTCGTCATTAATTCTCATTTATCATATATATACCATCTTTTTTCTATAAAGTGTTATTATGGATGTTATTTGTTAATTTCATGTACCACTCAATCCTCATATATATTTGCATAACACTTTATTTATTTCACTAGCTTAAATATAAACATATTATTTTTTATATACTATTTTATTAACATTTTGTTTGGTCTTATTTTAGGGTTTAAAACACTTATATATCTTATATATCATTTATTTGTTTTAATCAACAATTTATTAATATTATTTTTAGTTTATACATAATTTTTGAAAAACACTAAAATTTGTACTATATATCAACACTTTTATTTAATATATCTATTAATCATTTGTATTTTAGTTCTACTAATTATCTGTATTGTTTTTCATCTTTTGTTTTTTCTTTTAAAAATATCTTAATTAATTTAATCGTCTTTGTAAGGTCTTATTGTATAAATATTATTATATGGAAATAACATAGAAAATATTTCATCGGCTATACGTTAATATAAAAGTATAAAACGTGCACTTGCCGGGAATCGAACCCGGGTCTCATCCGTGGCAGGGATACGTCTTACCACTGGACCACAAGAGCCACCTGAATTGTCCTCTTCGGTTTTTGAATCATACCAATAGTGTAAAAATTGCCTTATAGAAATTATCTAATGTATATATTCATATAAATTTCAACATTTTTTATCAAACTACTCTATTTATTCATATGCTCATAAAATCATCTTCAATTAAATATGGAACTGAAAAATCATAGGTTTCAAAAGCTTCAATTATCAAACACTACAAACTATTTTGTCGTCATTAATTCTCATTTATCATATATATACCATCTTTTTTCTATAAAGTGTTATTATGGATGTTATTTGTTAATTTCATGTACCACTCAATCCTCATATATATTTGCATAACACTTTATTTATTTCACTAGCTTAAATATAAACATATTATTTTTTATATACTATTTTATTAACATTTTGTTTGGTCTTATTTTAGGGTTTAAAACACTTATATATCTTATATATCATTTATTTGTTTTAATCAACAATTTATTAATATTATTTTTAGTTTATACATAATTTTTGAAAAACACTAAAATTTGTACTATATATCAACACTTTTATTTAATATATCTATTAATCATTTGTATTTTAGTTCTACTAATTACTCATTATTTATAATTATATTTTATTATTTTTTATTATTTAATATTATAATTATAACATTTATTTATTAGAAGATAGTTAGGTTTATTAAACAAACAAACATAATAATTATTTAATTTTTATTAATTTTTCATAAAAATTTACTCATATATATAGTGAAATATTATTTAGAAAACTATTTATTTTTAATATATTGTGTGACAATTGGTGTTTTTTTAAGTGTTTTTCGATTGATCGATGTTAGTATCATAATTTGTTTTTACATGCAAGCTTGGTTTCATTTCTATATAATATAGTTTTAAATAACCAACAAAACAACAAGTTTGGCAACAATAAAATTGTATTAACAATTATAATTCTGTTTATATCTATCAAGTATTTGTGAGGTGTCTCCTCAGCCGTCAGTATATATTTTTATTACAATCTACAACACTTTTGTGTAAACCGTGGTAATTATTATAATTGTTTATATTTTTTTATCATTGTTTTATAATTAAACTATTAAAACACTTTAATTATTTTTTATTGTTCTTTATTTAGAAAATAATTTTCGTTTTATTGGTTGTTTCAGTTTAAAATACGAATGGCAACTCTGAATTTTTGTGTGCTTTCTTCTTTTTTATTTTTTTTCCTAAAAACAAAAAAATGTAAAAGAATAACATTTTACCTTCGATAACACTAAAGAAATACAAGTGGTTTGTTTCGCTGACTATTATTTTTATTAATATAAAAATGTATTTTTATATAAATTAATTAAAATAAATGAATAAATAAAGTACTAGGATTGATCTTATTTAATCAGTCCATAAACAATGTACACTTTTTGAATAATAATTGTGTTATTTATGACCAAAAAATATATAAAAAAATATTGACAAACCAGTTTTTATCAATAATATGTTTTTTTATTGTTAATATTAACTTATTAATATTATATTTCCTTGTATTTTCTTCATACCAAGAAAATTACATCAGAAAATAATTAAACTGCAAACAAATTAGACTTTTCTATTTTGCCATCTTTATGAATTATTTGTTTTTATTGGTATATCATGAACACATGAAAGTTTTACTCAATTTTTCCTTGCTGTTGTAAAACTTTCACCAACTTAAAAAATTATGGTATCATTTTATATCGTAACAAATGACAAAAATATAAACTTGAATTTTAATTCAAAAAATTGAAATTACATTAAAACATAACATTAATTGTTTTTAAAGCATTAATTTCCAACTCGATTGAATATTATCGACAACGTTAAATTGTCTTTAGATCTTTTCATATTCAAAATGAGCAAAACATTTGTTTTCACCAATGTTGAACAATACAAATTGGATTCTTCAAACAAATATTTCCTCCCCGAATTACCCGAGTCTGCTTTTAATCCAATATATGCAAAGGTACAGGGATATGCCGTTCAGTTGATGTGTCAACTTGACCCAACACACACTGAAGAGTACAAGACTTTACCACAGAGGTATCACACACAATTAGAAACCAACCTATTTAAACAAGCTGCACGAGAATTCTTTGCTGGCTGTTTTGATCCGAACTCTCGGATGTTTAAAAATGTTTTTAAATACTGTGTAGGCCAGGTCAGTGTCTATTTGCGCTTTTTATATGAGCAAGAAATAGACAAAGAAAACCTTGAAAAAGTAGAGATCAAAAATCCATTATTTATAGTGTCTATGCCACGCAGTGGCTCTACTTTTGCACATTCTGTGATGTCATCGGATCCATACGCGACTTCTATTAGAATGTACGAACACTTGTGTCCAGGGAGCAAGACAATGTCCTCTGAAAGTCGTCTCAACTATGGAAAAAGAGTGATCGAGCCGATGCTAAATGAAAACCTCAACAAACGACATAAACTAGACGTGGAACATTATGAAGAAGAACTGTTCTTCCAAGAAATGATTGGATTTTCGTGGACGTACTCGCTCAGTCTTCCCAGACTCGAACAATATAGAGAACACCTCTGGAACGGAAATTTCAAATTTGTGTATGACGGGTTAATGGACGAGTTTAAAATGCATTTGTTAGACAAAAAGGAGTGTCCTTGGTACGACACTGACAAGTCAAAAATAGACGAAAAAATGAAAAACTTCCACTTGTGTTTGAAGGCAGTTTCGCACTTTGTGGAGCCGGTGCACTTCTTCAATTTTGTAAATACAACAGAAGGAAGAATACTGTGGATACACAGAGAAATCATTCCGGAGCTCAAAAGTCTGATTCCTGGGTGCCTGGCAGTTCGTGGCAATTTTGTGGGTGATGTTGGACTTGATGATATTAAATGGACCAATGATAATACCATCAAAATCATTTGGCTGTGTTTGAAGAATGGAATTGCAGCGAGAGATAAATGGGTCAGTGAGGATCCAAGACGAGATAAACAGATTTATGACGTTTCATTTACGGCATTGACTAAAGACCCAATTGGAGAAACGAAAAAGATCTATAAATACTTTGGAATGGAATACTCAGAGGAGTTTGAAGAAAACATCAAAAAGCTCATCAAACCAAAAGAGAAAAAGCACGAAGAAGAGAAAGAAAAGGATAAGAAATACTTCACATTTGACGAAGAAGAGATGAAAAAAGAGTTCATGTTTTACTATAAGCGTTTTGAAAAGTACTTACCCAATTACTTTAAATAACAACTTGAAAGTAATTTCATTTTTTTTCACAAGTTTTATTTCTTGCATCTTTCAGTTTACTTTAGTGTGAAAACTGTTTTTTTTTAAATAATAATACGATATAAAAATATAATTAACTTTAAATTATTAACAAATTGATTTAAATTTTGCTATCAATTTTGTTTTAAAGCAATTTTAAATTTTTCAAAAATTAAAAGTAAAGTGAGGCGAGAAACCCACACCTGGAGAAAAACCCGCACCCATTTTCTTTTTTCTTCTTTGAAAAGCTGTTGAATGAAAAAAAGGTTCAGTCTCAGTTTTTGGTTAATTAAGAATGTTCTTATAATTAAAATACAATATAAAAACTTTATGAAATTAACCTTAAATAACAAAAATAAATTATTAGGAAATTAAAAATTAATATCTATTATCCTGATATTTCTAATGAAGTGATTAATTAGCTTTTGAACATATTTTAGGTTTAATTTTAATATAATTTATTAAATGTTTAGATTAAAAAATATAATATAAGGTTCACTTCCTAATACATCTTTTAAACAATTAATTACTGATTAGTTTAATATAGTATCTAAACCATAGATTGTTATTAAGTTTATTAACCATAAAAATACTAATAAGAAATCAATAATTTATATCCACTTTAAACCCATTTCAAATAGTTAATTAATTGTATTTATCAGCCACTTAAACATAATAAATAACATAAAAAACAAACAAACATTAGTCGCGCGTAATTTGCATTATCTAATTGTTAATTTATATGCGCCATGTGTATAAATAAATTAATTAAATTGCCAAACGGTAATGGGGATCCACAACAACTCAACACAAACACGTCTCTGTTGTTTGTATTGAGTTTGAATATTTGAACTGATTTTTCTTAATTTTAAGTTTTCATAAAAGTTTTTTGAGGAAAAATAATGGTGGATATAAAACCCATTTAATTATTCAACAACTTAAGTCATTTTAATAGTTGATATTAATATAATTATAATAATATGTATAGTTTGTTGTTGGTGTTTTATGAATATTTTTATTAAAATTATTTAATTTAAGTTAAATAATTTTTTAATTTGTAAAAAAAACAAATATTAGAAATATAATAAATTTTTATTATAATTGATAATGATTGATATGATAAAAACACATTTTGTAACTTCTTTGTATAATGTTACAGTTTGATATAAAGCAGTGTTACATTATAGTACTGTTGATGTACATTCGTTTGCATATCAAAATTTCTGTTTTTATTTACAACTTAATAAAAAAAGATATGTGTCAAAAAAGACATAACTTGACTCTTTTTATTGTTTTTGAACTTATTTAAAAATGGTGATATTATACACACAACTGAGCTTTAATACAGAATCTTCACGAATACATTATTGATTTTGACTCGTGAGTATTATAGATATATAAGAAAATATTTTGATCAAAAAATAAACATTTGTGTAGATAAAAGCAAATCTTTGAATATTTTTACTATACATTACTATATTATAGAATTTGTCTTGTGAAAAATTGAACTATTTTTAGAAATTGTGTTTTGATAAACTATTACAAGTTAAAAAATATAGTTTAAATCATTAAACTATATATATAGTTTTTATAATAGTATATTTGTTTTTTGAATAAACACAAATTTGAAACACTGTTATAATACACTGAAAGTATGTAAAAATCCGGGCCATTTTTGTTCTTTGATAGTTCATTTTGAATCAAACTCGAATCATTTTTTATTTTTGAATAAAAAACACCAAAAAGAAAGAAAAAGAAACTATAATAACCCGACTTTTTTATTTTTTACATGTTCTGGAAGTAAAAAACACAATAATTTGGGTAAAAGAAGAAAAAGGAAAATGGGTGCGGGTTTTTCTCCAGGTGTGGGTTTCTCGCCTCACTTTATATTATACTTTTTTTTTATTATATATACTCAAAATTAATTGAATCTGAATTAAGAGAAAGGATGGACATGGGGACGAAGGACGGGAATATAGGCCGAAGGATGTACTTTGTGGTTTAAGGACGTCCTCCCGTTATTAAGGGCGTCCTCTTGTGTATATGGTGTCCTCTCTATTATTTTCGTGTCCGCGGCAATTTTTATTCATTATCGAAACTATATAACGAAGTATATTTTTATTATAAATATACAATCAAAAAATATAATGATTTCCAAAAATAAATTAATTCAAAGACAAAAACTATTTAACAAGTAATTTTGTTATATATTATTGGTTTATAAAAATTTATCATTTTTTTTCATTTTACCATTCAGTTTTCTTTGAAAAACTAATTAAATTTGCATTTTTTATAAAAACCATTAATTTATAACGAAATTACTTGTTGTTTAAAATTTGTCTTTGATTAAATTTATTTTTGGAAATAATTATATTTTATAATAGTAAATTCATAGTAATATTATAACTCATTATTTAGTTTTAAAAATGCCGCGGACACGAAAATAATAAAAAAGACACCATTTACACAGCGAGGACGTCCTTAAACCACAAAGGACGTCCTTCGGCCTATATTCCCGTCCTTCGTCCCCATGTCCATCCTTTCTCTTTAGTATACATTTTAAAAATAAATTTAATTCTTGAAAGGTCAACCTTTGAACACAAATTCAAAATCGCTTATTTTATCATCCACTTTATTTGACCAATAGGAAATTACTATTTATTATAATTTTTTAACCAAATAAAATAATAATCTTAATTATACTTCATTTTATATTTTACAATTGGTACATATGACGTGGAAATGATCCCAACAGCGCCAAACATCAATACCTTTAATAAAGCGAATAATGCATTTACATTTAATTGTTTTTTATTACCAAACACGTCCAATTAATCAATTTCATTGTTCGGACACGTATTATTTTTATGTATTTGTTTTTCATGTTAAAAAACAATTCAAATTTAATTAAAAACTCTTGTAAGTTTGGTGGAATCTAGAACTTAGTGAATAATACTGTAAAATGAATTTGCAAATAACGGAATATATGGTTAACTTATTATAAAGTTTATGGATTACTTTTCAAATCATTATATAGTTATGATTGAATCAAATAATTATTAAAATAATATAACTATTTAACTACCGAAAGTTGATTTAATCGATTATTTATGTTTCAAAACAATTTAAAATAATTTTACTCAAAAATATATAAAAAACTCGACAATACCACAATATTTTAAAAGAATTAAACCCGGATTATATCATATTTCGAGAAAAAAGCCAGTCTTTTTTTTAAAAACTTTTCAATAATAAATAAACAAAATCAAGAACTGTAAAAACAAAAACATTTAAATACACAATGAAAAAACTTGAGCCTGTTTATTTGATGAACGTTATGTTATACATCCGAATATCCGATCTCTTCAATTATTGTCATGTTTCATTTTCAACTTTCCAAAGTTGTTTAATGATGAAAACAAACCCATGGAGTGTATTAGACTCTTCCGACCCAACACAGTCTTTCTGCATAATCAATCAAATTTTGCCCAATATAGAAACTTTGACTATTCCAAAACAAATTGATGTACCAATTCATATGGGTTTCAAAAACGTTACCCAAGTGAATTACACTGATGGGGTGTTTTCTAATTTGTTAAATTTCAATCGATTTAATTTTCCGTCAAGTTGTGTTTCTGTCGCTTTAAAAAAATATGTTGAATTAAAAATGTACTATAATCCAACTGTCGAAACAACCAACACATCAAAAGTGTCCAAATTAGTTATTGACAATAGCAACGCTCACTTTTTGTATCAAATAAATTGGCACAAATACCCAAATCTTAAACTTTTGATAATGCACTTCGATAAAGACGCATTTTTTGATACGACTACTATTAACAGAATTCATCAAATGGAAATACCAAAAGAAATTAAATTTGTTGTTTGTATTGAAAGTGACAATTTTTCAAATTCAAAAATAATGGAAAACACAATCGAAAAATTACCAACTTGGACATTTTTTATTGAAAAAAGTTTTGGGCATTATATTTACAACACAACATGGAGACACGTTTTCCGTTTTGATGAAAACGACGATGAAAATGAGAAGAAGATATACCAACATTTATATCTTCCTACAGAGCTGATTTTGAATTACAGTGGAAATTATTCAATGTTTGATAATTTGAAAAAAGTCAAAATTTTGAATGCAAAGGTTGTTCTCCCACAAAACGTGGAAGAAATTTACATCCAAGAGAAAAACAGTGAAATTGTAAATGCCAATGAACTAAAAAATGTCAAATTTGTAATAAACAAAATTCGTACAAAAATTCCAATGCAGTTAATTGATAAACTCATTTTTACAAACACGGCATTTGACAACTATTGTTTTGTGCCATTATTAATATACCCCTTGTGTGTTGTCGTGAATTATATGTTGTATTTAATATTGAAAATATCGAGTTTTTATCACTCCAATGAATATGACTTTATTTGGTGTGTTAAAATGTGCAAATATGAGGCTATCGCATTTATCGATTGTTTTATAATATTTGCTGTGTACAAAAATATGATCGGAACATACGATTCATATACGTATAAATTGAGTATATTTTCTCTTACTGCATTGTTATTAGGAATGTTCAGTTATGGTGTTATTAATGTGATTAAAATGTATTTAATTTTGCCTTTTGTCATTACGTCGGTTGTTCTTTGTTTATTATTAGCAGATTTGTTTGGTGACACAGATAACAGCATAAACAGTTTCGCTCAAAAAGTGTATTACCACACCAAATCCAAAATGTTGTATTTTCTTTTTATGAAATTTGAAAAATCCAACTTTGATGAATTTCACACGATGGTATTATTGTGGGTAAAAATGAGTTTGCTCAGTATTTCAATTTATAACTTGTGGTGTATGGCAAACGTTAAATGGTACTTTGATTTTGTATTGATAACACCCGTTATCTTGTTATGCTTTATAGAGTATATGTATTCGAAATAATAACAAACAAAACACTTAACAAACTCAAATACTTTATTCAACTTTATTTGATATTTTTGTTTATACTGTAATTGTTTTATCAGTTTTAAAAAGTTACATTTTATGAGATAGTGCAATAACACAAATTGATGAATACAATTTTAATCAAAATCTAGTTAACATATATTATACATATTATATATATTAATATAATTATATTATATTCAATATTTATTAATTCTGTTTGTATTAATTGCGAATATTTGAAATAAACAAAAAGCAGAAATGTTTTATGGGCAAACTCTGTGATATCTGGTCCACATTCATCATAATCTTTAAATGACACACAAGCAGATTTAAAAGTTGACAAACTTGCAAAGATTTTGCCACCCATATATACAGCAATATCTCCATTGGGTGGTGCAGTTAAAATTAACTTCATAGATTCTGGTGCAAATTTTGTAAATTCGGTGTTAAATCTTTCAACAAAGCCAGTCATCATTGTGCTTCCACCAGCCAACACAATATTTCGGTACAATTCAGTTTTTAGATTTGGTTCAATTTGCATTAAAGAATCATTAACTTGAATAGCAATACCATTCATATCTTTTCCATATTTATTTGGATTGAATAATTGTTCAGTATATTCAAATCTTTCGGCACCAAGCTTGATTTCTTTTTTATCAAGAAGTTTATAAATCTTCTCGAGTTTGTTTGCTTCTTTTTCCTTTTTTTCAAAGTCTTGAGCAATGTAACACATATTTTCTTTTATTTCATCAAGAATTAATCTTTCATTAAATTCTTTAAAAATAAATCCCTTTTGATTTGCAATTTTCTCGATTGAATCGCGAACGTCTTGACCAGCAAGTTCTAAACACGACACCCTTTTCAATTTATGAACCTTCATAAATTGGTACAAATTGTGTTACTCCATCACCACATTCAACACAATAACCAGTACTTTTACCAGTCGACATTAATGATAATACTGGCTGCGAAACAAGACAAAAATATGGAAGACCAAACGTTTCAATCATATTCTTACAGAGATTTTTTGTTGTTGTTTTGTGAAATTTATTGATTCTGTTAACAAAACTGGTGATTCTTATGAATATTTGATCAAACAATCAAAAATACTATAATGAACAATTTTTTCAAAATTATCTCGGTCACTAACTAAACCACGTTGGACTGGATATTTCAAATTCATTGAATAACAATTGTGAATAAAATATTTACCAACATAAGTATTTCTCATTTCCTGCACACAACACGTATACATACGTGTTAAGTGTCAAACAACACTTCTAAACACTTCTTCAGGTGCTTTTTTATTTGCATATCCTATTCTGGTTATAAATTAACCAATATCAAAAATTCCAACATTATCAATCAGTGTTTGTTCTATCGTTTGATAACAAAATATTTTAATAGTGTGTATAAATATAGTTATCAAATATTACACAATGTGTAATTATTGATATATTATTATGTATTTATAATAAAATGATAATTGTAATAAACTTAACTAGTGTAATTAACAAAGTTATTTTTTTATAAAATTAAAAATTCATAATAAGGTTTATAAATTAATAAAAAATTGTTTGCTTTAGATTGAGACACAATTATTATTACACTTACTGTGATATTAATATTTTTTTTCAATTAATTATTAATTGTTGTAGCATTAAAGTTATAAATACAAATTTTTCTTTTATTCTTCATTCAAATTAACTTTAGATCATTATAATGCAGTTATTAACACCTTAAATAACATTGTACAAAATTCAAGTGTTTAAAAATATGGAAATCTTTAGTTTATTAAACAGTTTTATGTTTTTTAAGTTTATATATTGTGCATAACATTTCATGAGCTAAAAAGAAAAAATTATTAAATATTTCAGTAATATTTAAACAATAAAAAAT